TAAATCATCTATATGTTTGATTGTTTCTCTGATATCTTCTATTTTTTTCAAATTATATTTTCCATTATCTTCTTTGTTTCAGTTTAATCGATGCTTTTGTCGAGCAACCAAACCGACTTTGATTGATAACACACAATTGTATACATGTTACTATGAGTTCTATTGTCCAGGCAACATCCGGGAATTATGTGGAGGTTCTTACTGGAGTAAATGGAATGAACGGATTACAGTTTCGAAAATAGGTAATCACAGTTTGAAAATAATTTAGAAATAAATAAAAGAGTACATAATACGCCTATTTCTAGAATAAGAAACCAAATTCACGTATATGCAAAGCGGTTTATGTTTGTATCGGCCGACAAAGCTGCCAACAATGTGGTCGTGGTATGTCGTAATACTACAGGGAATATCTTAAGGATGAAGTTTTAAATTCTCCTACATTATAGTCCATGCGCTGCACAGAGAAGTATAGTAAACAATGATATCATAACCACATCTCAGTTTAAGGCCTCGTCTGAACATTTGAAGGTCCTTACTATTTGTTACCTAAACTACACAGAAAACCAGTCAAATATCGTTATATCTCGGCCTCTAGTTATCGTTCTACAACTAATATTTCAGTGCTTCTAACTAGTTCCTTAACTACTATCAAAGAACTTAAATAGTGGAATTAACTATTTTTGGAGTGTACAAAATTCTTTGAATGTTTTAGATAAACAACGTGCTTTTGATGGTCCTTTTGATTCTGTTGACATTTTTTCCAATTCAACTCTTTACACTAACTTCCATTCAATTTTATCAAACATCAGTTTTCCTATCTAATTAAATGATCGTTTGGTAAATCTGAGTAAAAATATATTTGCTGATACTCATTTAAAGCCTTCTTCTCCAATAAGAAAGATAACTATGCTAGATATACTTACTGGAGGTGTGTTGAAACGATTCAAGCTGTTAATTTCCTTGATAATATGTATGTACTATTTGGCAATAAAGTTTATCAATAGGTTGTAGGTATTTCTATGGGCACCAATTGCGCTCCTTTAATAGTAGACTTGTTCTTGTACTACTGTGAATCATAGTTTATGACAAAACTCAGTAAAGACCCGTCCAAATTGCATTTAATTGACAAATTCTACAACACTTACCGTTATCTTGATGATAGTTTTTGTTAAATCATCAGGACGGTGATCTTCCTTTTGGCACCATCTTACGGTGTTTATATATCACAACTCGTTCTCTATCCCCGTATCTGTTGCGACGTTTAGGATTTCAATGACTGTAATCTATGTATTACTGGCAAATAATTAAGTCAGGGATTTCACTACCTTTACTAAATTCTTCCATATATACAAATATTTGGTTTTTTGGAAGTTTGGCTGTACTTGTAGAAAACTTATTTCAAACAGGATAGCACAACCTAATTTTTACAGAGATGTTGTTTACAAACCCCGGAAATTTAGATACGATCCGGGTAATGTTTATCAATTCTTTAAATAAACTTATTCTAAAAGGTTACAAATTCAACACTCTAATTAGATCTTTGAATATTGTTTTAATTGGTAATAATATTGATCATGTTATAAATTAATTAAAATATATCAAATATTATTGTATGTACATATGCACATTCATGGCTCTACAATCTGTCGATATCTGTATCATGACATTGCACAAGGTCATGTTTTTTCTGACTGTTAATGACGTCTTTAAACTAGATCCATTGGATGTTGGGTGTGTACTGATTGATATTTTAGTCTTTGATGCATGATTTTTTGTATTAGTTGTTTTTGACTTTGAACTAGCTGTCACTAACTGCGAGTACTCTCAGATCTGTCAGTTTTTATTTCTTTTTTTTTTTTTTTAGAAGTCTTTCCGCTTTGTATTGATCTGATGAGTTAGGGCCCTTTTAACTGATTTTATAGTTCGTTCTTATGTCGTACTGTTACACCACTATCCCAGGTTAGGGGAAGGTTTGTAGCCAACACACTAGTTTAACTCCGCCACATTATGTGTGTGTCTGACCCAAGTCAGGGGCCTGTAATTCAGTGGTTGTCGTTTTCTGCTGTATATCATATTTGTTTTTCGTTCATTGTTTTGTACATAAATCAGGCCGTCAGTTTTCTTGTTTGAATTGTTTTACATTTGTCATTTCGGGGTCTTTTAAAGCTGACTATGCGGTATGGGTTTTGCTCATTGTTGAAGGCCGTACGGTGACCTACAGTTGTTAACTTTTATGTCATTTGGTCTCTGATGGAGAGTTCATTCATTGGCAATCATACCACATTGTCTTATTTTTAAAAATTACCAGAAAAAGTACATTGAAGTAAGTTACATATACATGGTTATAGTAGAAACTATATGTATGGCAGCACAGTTTTGATAAAATGACACCAATGGCAAAATTATATAATCAGTATAAAATATGCAATAGAAATGAAAACATCACTATAAATCCCATTTGTCCAAAGCGCTTTTCTGTATTTACCTTCATCAGGAACGCTCAAATCTATAAACATTAAACCGATATTTAAAATAACTGAAACCAAACTGAACAAAATGTTTTTTCCTTTACCATGTTTACATTTCACATAAAAATCATTTGGTTGTACATTTCACAAATGTGAAAATTCATAATTTTGAATATGAACAATTTCTAGAAGTTTCTAGTTTCGAAGTCTAAAACAATACTTTATTTTACTTCGTTTTTCTAATACTGAATAAGGAAATCACTGTTGTATTTAATTAATGCCCTACCAGAGGAAATTTATTCGGGAAATAATGTCTGTCACTGCAAAAAGAAGATATGATGATCATGGTATATTCTTTTACATGTTTTGTGTGCATTTAGGCTTTACATTTTCTTCACGATGCATCGGGTTCAACGTCTCCGCCAAGACTAACTTGGCTAGGAAATTCTATATATACGAACAAGATTAACAAAATGAATTGAAATATTTGATATCAACCCTGATTATTGGTAGGGTTCGAACTATTAGTTTTACTAATTGGATGTTAAAGACTGTTTGTTGTGTTTTACTAGTTTATTGTTGCCATGGTACTGATTTTTTTCCCCACTTATTATTATCTATTATCCTTTTGGTATATTCGGCTTTTAAAACATCCATATTTCCACTATTTGCAGGACTATCAACTGAAACTGAGACTGTAACAAATACACAAGCAACTAGTACAACGTCTGCGTCTTTAAAAGAATCAACGTCAGATTTTATGAACATGATAACGAACAACACATCTCCTGCGGCAGTAACACATACTATGCCTTCTACTACACCGGAATTATTCAGTACAACATCTGCTTATTCAAATACGGCCATTTCAACTTTACTAACTGAGTCTTCAACACAAGCAACAACAGGTATTGTCCATGTTGACAGTGAATTATACTTGCAAAAATAGATATGGAGTATAAACTCATAAAAAAAGATTTCTGAACTTTAATGATAAAATTCAAGCAAAGGACCAGCTTTTTGATAGCTTTGTTTTAATAAAGTTACATTCCATCAACACTGATTAAGAGGTCTCAGTTTGCTACAAGATCACGAGAGAACCTACAAAAATCTAAAATTATAGTAACAATGATAATTTTAATAATTATAATAATAATAATAATAATAATAATAATAATAATAATACATAGGAAAAATTGCAACATATGTTTTCATATGTTTAACATATGTTTTTCATATGTTTGAAAACATATATAAACATATGTTTAGGCCCGACATGAAAACATATGTTTTCAAACATATGAAAAACATATGGAAAACATATGAAAAACATATGTTTTTAAAATCATATGAAAAACATATGTTTTTCATACATGTAAACATATGAAAAACATATGTTTTTCATATGTTTTTTACAAACATATGTTTTTCATATGTTTTCATACCTGGCCTAAACATATGTTTTCATATGTTTGTCCTAAACATATGTTTTCATATGTTTGGCCCAAACATATGTTTTCATATGATTTAATCTTGGTCCTAAATATATATTTTTTAAATATGTTTTTAATTGTTCAAATGCATTTATTTTCTTATAGATTCTAAACATGGTTTGTATATATATATTTTTTTTTGCGATAGGTTTTTAAGGGTAACGTTTTTATGATTTTTAATATGTTTTTCTTTAATTTGTTATCTTTTTTTTCTGTCAGGAACTCATTTTGAGTGTAAATACTTCATTGTGATGAGTTGTTGCTTTAAAAAGTAAAAAACCCAAAATACCAAATTCCACAGAAAAGTACATGGCAAAATCAAAAGCTCAAACAAATAAAAAACAATAAGTGCTCCATAATTTTTATATCAAGTAGAATTTTTTTTTTTTATTTAGTTGTTGTCTCTTCTATTTTCATAGTTTTGTCTCCTTGACATACATTGTACCACATTTCTATTGTCTATATTCTATTTTCATTTGTTTGTCTCTTCGACATACACCATTTCTAGTATTGTCTATATTCTATTTTCATATGACTTTGTGTGTCTCTTTGACATACCCCATTTCTATTGTCTATATTCTATTTTCATATGTTTGTCTCTTTGATATACCCTATTTCTTTTGTCTATATTCTATTTTCATGTTTGTCTCTTTGACATACCCCAATTTTATTGTCTATATTCTATTTTCATATGTGTGTCTCTTTGACATACCCCATTTCTATTGTCTATATTCTATTTTCATATTTTTGTCTCTTTGACATACTCCATTTCTTTTGTCTATATTCTATTTTCATATTTTTGACTCTTTGACATACTCCATTTCTATTGTCTATATTCTATTTTCATATTTTTGTCTCTTTGACATACTCCATTTCTATTGTCTATATTCTATTTTACTATGATGTATGTGATATTTCTATTGCTATATCACCATACACAGATATTTAATTGTCTTCACTGCTGGCTATTACTGTTGCATGTGTATGCAGCTGCTTTTTGTAAATATCCTGTATGATTAAGAAAGACAACTAGATTGACTTTGAGCTCAATATTGTATTAATTAAAAATTAATGTTCTTTGGTTCTGTTTCTTTACTTTTCAGTTCCTGCAAGTAGAAATAAAAGAACAGAGTTTCAATGTCCACCTAGTCGCACATTTTTAGCTCACCTGACCCGAAGGGCCAAGTGAGCTATTCTCATCACTTGGCGTCTGTTGTCGTCCGTCGTCATTGTTAACTTTTTACATTTTTAACTTCTTCTAGAGAACCACTGAATGGAATGGAACCAAATATGGCATGAATGTTCCTCATGAGGTGCTGACAAAGTGTTGTTACTTTGTAGCCGATCCATCATCCAAGATGGCCGCCAGCGGGGGGACTTAGTTTAACATAGGACCCTATGGGAAATACATACAAATGTCTTCTTTTAGAGAACCACTGAATGTAATGAAACCAAACATAGCATGAATGTTCCCTATGAGGTGCTGACCAAGTGTTGTTACTTTGTAGCCGATCCATCATCCAAGATGGCCGCCAGCGGGGGGACTTAGTTTAACATAGGACCCTATGGGAAATACATACAAATGTCTTCTTTTAGAGAACCACTGAATGGAATGAAAGCAAACATAGCAATATTACACCAAATTTGGCCTCAAACATTATTATAAGTATCTGTTATGATGTTTATCTTTTTTTATATGATTTCAAAAACCCAAGTAGAGTCAGGTGAGCGACACAGGCTCTTGAGAGCCTCTAGTTTATCTATCAAGGAGCAATATTAACATGATTAAAAAAAACAACATGTTGTTTTGTTCTCAAAAATATTTATAAATAAAAAATGTGCTTGGGGAAAAAAAAAGTTGTTTTTCTTGTATACTAAATATTTCAAACTGACCTTCAAGGGCATTACTATAATAGTATACTATAAGTTTAATAAAAAAAAATGAGAGCAATTACGAGGCCATTTTCCATAAATTTAATATTTCAAAGAGGCATAACTCTTTTGAAAAAATTCAATCGGCCATCATTACAACTGCCAGTTATACATCTACACCTTACAATAATTCCATACACCAAATAAAGTAAGTATAACTTATTGCTTATAATACCTGAGATATTGACTTGACCACGAAAACTTTCTGACAGAGTAGACAGACACTAGCTATAGGACCTTGCAAGGTACCCACATACTAAGTAAATAGAAATATCCTATTACCATGATTACTATAAATAATATTAATAAGAGAGAAATTAACATTACAAAAAACTTTAACCACAGACTGAACCTAAATTTTAGGACAGCGACGCCGCCCCTGGCAGAATCTAGGGTCACTGTCTCGCTTTCGTGAAATAAATTTGCAAGCTTGACAAAAAGCAGAACATGTATTTCAGAAATAGAAACTCTATGCAATTATTAATACTTTAGTTTGGGAAAACATAATTTTTGCATCTTTTATTATTTTGTTATTTCTTTTTAAGTGCTTGTTGATGAGTCCAGCCCTTTCTGGCTGTTTTTGACATTTGTTTCTTATGTTGGGTGCTGTCTGCCATACTGTGTGTAGTTTTATTTTTTTCATTGGTTCACATTTTTTCATCCTTATACAAGATATAGCCATAATAGGTTACTTTATGGTATGGATTTTGATCATTGTTTATGGCTGTAAAGTGACCAGGAAATGTTTACATCTTCGTCCTTTGGTTTTTGAATTGATAGTTGTCATATTGAGAATCATACATGTACCTCATCTCCTCATACATGTTAAATATGTTATATCTATATGCTGGTTCATAAAAAATCTTATAAGGAAATTATTCAATTGTTATATGTTTGAAAACTCTTTCCTATAATGCAAAAACAATAATTGATTGACTTTTCTAGCTTAATAATTTTAATTTAAGATTCAGTAGCAAATATTTTATGTATATTCAAGACGAGAACAACTTTTAAATATACAATTCATAATATAAGCAAATGCTATAATTATTTTAAATTCTGACATCTTATGCGTGTGTGTGTGTGTGTGGAGCAGAAGAAGGATTCCTTGATAAAATTGAGAATGGAAATGGGGAATGTGTCAAAGAGACAACAACCCGACCATAGAGTAGACAACAGCCGAAGGCCACCAAATTGATGCATACTTGACATCAGAAAGACATAAATAAACAACAGTATACATGGTATACATGCTGTAACATGTACAATTACACTTGAAAAAGTTTTAAATAGATAACATTAAATTATTTAAATTAACTGCAATTCTACAGATGAACTTACTTTGATACCAGTTCTTTTTGCCTGACATCCGCACCTACATGGTACACCAGTGATTCTAATACTGTACTTTCCTTTCATTTGGTAACCATGGTAACAAGCTGAAATTGTAAATCTTAATTTAATCCAGAAGTCCAGACAAAAACAAGATCATTTTTTTAGACGTAGTATAAACTGATGCTCACTTATTTATATTTCTACTTTTGAGTGAATGGAAACAATATGCAACAAACTAAAAAAAAAGATCAACAGTGTAACTAATATTAATAATATATGTATAGCCTAAGCCCGTCTCAGTATAGTATGAACTTTTTCTAATATAAGATGATCAATCTGCTGTCTGCAGTTTAAAATAAAATGCTCCCCAGGGCGCAGCTTGATACGACCGCAGAGGTCGAACCCCAAACAGATGGGGGCAAGTATTGACACAATATTCAAGCTTGATACAGCTCTGAATTTGGTTTGTGATTAAATATTTGACACAGCTTACATGGCATAGGTTTCTGACACAGAATGAATGTGGTCTAAGAACTTAAAAATTTTAAATTAGACATTTACCTATTATGGTCCAATATCCTAAATCTAAATACATGGTTAGATTCAGCATATAAAAGAACCCCCAAGAATTCAATTTTTTTATGAAATCAAACAAAGTTTAATTATGGACCCTTTTGACCTCAATGTGGACCAATTTGATAACGGAGCCCAAAATCAAAAATCTAAATACATGGTTAGATTCAGCATATCAAAGAACCCCATATATTCAATTTTTGTTAAACTCAAACAAAGTTAAATTTTGCACTCTATTTGGACCAACTTGAAAACTGGGCCCATAATCAAAAGTCTAAATACATGTTTAGATTCAGCATATCAAAGAACCCCAAGAATTCAATTTTGTTAAAATCGAACTAAGTTTTATATTGGACCCTTTGGACCTTAATGTAGACCAATTCGAAAAACGGGACCAAAAATTAAAAATCTAAATACACGGTTAGATTCGGCATATCAAAGAACCCCAATTATTCAATGTTTGATGAAATCAACAAAAGTTTAATTTTGGACCCTTTGGACCTCAATGAGGACCAATTGAAAAACGGGCACAAAATCCAAAAACTTAATACACTGTTAGATTCAGCATATCAAAGAACCCCATATATTCAATTTTTGTTAAACTCAAAACAAAGTTAAATTTTGCGCTCGATTTGAACCAACTTGAAAATGGGCCCAAAATCAAAAATCTAAATACATGTTTAGATTCAGCATATCAAAGAACCCAAGAATTCAATTTATGTTAAAATCAAACTAGGTTTAATTTTGGACCCTTTGCACCTTAATGTAGACCAATTTGAAAACGGGACCAAAAATTAAAAATCTAAATACACGGTTAGATTCGGAATATCAAAGAACCCCAATAATTCAATTTTTGATGAAATCATACAAAGTTTAATTTTGGACCCTATGGACTTCAATGTGGACCAATTTAAAAACGGGGCCCAAAATCCAAAAACTTAATACATGGTTAGATTCAGCATATTAAAGAACCCCAAGAATTCAAGAATAAAACCCCATTGAAATTGGTCAAGAAATAAGCAATTATTACAAAGTATTAGAAAAGTATTGTTTAATATTGGCCCCCAATTCCTAAACAGTTAGGGTCATAACCCCGCAATTCAATTCCAACCTTCCTTTTTAGATCACCTGGCCCACAGGGCCAAGTGAGCTTTTCTCATCACTTGGCGTCCATCATCCTGTGTCCTGCGTCCGTAAACTTTTACAAAAATCTTCTCCTCTGAAACTACTGAGCCAAATTTGACCAAACTTGGCCACAATCATCATTAGGGTATCTAGTTTAAAAAATGTGTCCGATGACCCCGCCAACCAACCAAGATGGCCGCCATGGCTAAAAATAGAACATGGGGGTAAAATGTAGATTTTGGCTTATATCTCTGAAACCAAAGCATAAAGAGTAAACCTGATTGGGTAAAACTAATAATCAGGTCAAGATCTATCTGCCCTGAAATTTTCAGACAAATCTGACAACCTGTTGTTGGGTTGCTGCCCCTGAATTGGTAATTTTAAGCAAATTTTGCAGTTTTTGGTTATTATCTTGAATATTATTATAGATAGAAATAAACTGTAAACAGCAATAATGTTCAGCAAAGTACGATCTACAAATAAGTCATATGACTAAAATTGTCAGTCGACCCCTTTAGGAGTTATTGCCCTTTATAGTCAATTTTTAACAATTTTTCGTAAATTTTTGTCATCTTTTACAAAAATCTTCTTCTCTGAAACTACTGAGACAAATTTAACCATACTTGGCCATAATCATTATAAGGGTATCTAGTTTAAAAAGATGTGTCCGATGACCCCACCTTCCAACCATCATGGCCGACTTAAAAATAGAACATAGGGGTAAAATGCAGTTTTCGGTTTATATCTCTGAAACTGAAGCATTTAGAGCAAATCTGACAGTGGCAAAAATGTTCATCAGATTTAGATTTATCTGCCCTGAAATTTTCAGACAAATCCGACAACCGGTTGTTGGGTTGCTGCCCCTGAGTTAGTAATTTTACAGAAATTTTGCAGTTTTTTATTATTATCTTAGATATCATTATAATATCTAATATCTAATACTATTAATTATGATTTTAACCTTATTTTATATGATTTCAAAAGCATCAGTAAATACAGGTAAGCGACACAGGCTCTTGAGAGCCTCTAGTTTGGTATGGAACCTTGTAGTACAATTTCAGAAAGATCCATACACTTACACACAAGTTATATTGTCTGGAAACTAGTAAAAAGCTTATTTTGACCCCTTTTTAGGCACTTAATTCCTAAACTGTTGGGACCATAACCCCCAAAATCAATTCCAACCTTCCTTTTGTGGTTTCAAACCTTGTGTTTAAATTTCATAGAGATCCATTCACTGAAACTAGAGTTATTGTCCGGAAACTAAGTGTCTTACGACGACGCGGACATAAACGACGACGTGATACCAATATACGACTGCAAATTTTTTTTGAAGTCGTATAAAAAACAACATTAAGTCCTTAACTCTTGATGTTTAGTAAATCTTAATTTCCTGTTAAATAGGCAAAATTGTTTAAATACACCATTTATAGGCATGTTGTGGAATCTTAATAAATACTTATGATTGCAATGTTCGTTTAATCGTCGTTGTAGCTATGAAATCTATACAATAACGTCATTCACTACAACATTAGGGTTACAACGTTACCATAGTTCAATGTTAGTACTTCGCGTATACTATTTTAAGACAAGGAAATATTAACTCATGAACACAATATGTTGTCATTTGTGTTACAAACCATACTTCATCGATTTAATAAAAGAACAGCTTTTCAATGTACCTCGCCAATTGATGGATATACATGTATAAAATTTGCTATCAAAAAGCAAAAAAATATGTATGTTCTTTTAACCTTTTTCATAAATTATAAATAATCTAAAAGAAATGAAGACGTGTGTGGGATTGCTTGCAATGCAATTTTTCTTACAATATCCATTTCCAAGAGGCATAACTCCTGTAAACATATTTGATCAGCACTTATTTTTTAACTCATAAAAGCCTATGCTGATATAGACCTACATGTATAGTTTGAATTACATGTATGGTATCTGACAAAAAAATGTAACCATAACAGTGCTTTACTGGTTATCTTCCATAGAATTTATATTTCAAAGTGAAGTAATTCCTGTATAAATAATTTATCCAAGACATTACTGGTATATATAATAAACCTTTGGTATACATAAATATTATTGGAAGTTTTGGTCCTCGGTCATCGGTGCTCTTCAGCTTTGTACTTGTTTTGGCTTTCAAACTTTTTTCATCTGAGCGTCACTGGTTGGTCTTGTGTGGACAAGACGCACGTCTGGCGTATTGAATTTTAAGCCTAGTACCTTTTGTTAGCTATTATTCGTGTATTTCTTTGTCCTATATGTTCTCCCATTTATTTGTATTGTGGTCCTGTCATGTGATGTTGTCGTTTTGGTGTTTTGTTTGATGTTGCCATAAAAGCGGGAGGTTTGGCATGCCACAAAACCAGGTTCAACCCACCATTTTTTTCTTAAAATGTCCTGTACCAAGTCAGGAAAATGGCCATTGTTATATTAAAGTTCGTTTCTGTGTGTGTTACGTCGTTTTTTCCTCTTATATTTCATGTGTTTCCCTCAGTTTTAGTTTGTAACCCGGATTTGTTTTTATCTCTATCGATTTATGAGTTTTGAACAGCGGTATACTACTGTTGCCTTTATTTTACATGAATAAACAAAATATTTAAACAAAGTTATCCTTTTCATTACATACCTCTCATCACAAAATAATTATTGCCTGCTGCTCCTTATATGCACATAAATCAATATGACAATCTATGAATCCATTATATAATCTAGAAAGCAATGCCTCAAATGAATTCTGTTCTGTTGCTTATATTCTTCTACTTCTTGAAGTACAAAATGTACTTTCATTGAAAATGCTAAAAGAAATAATGTATGACATGTACAAATGTATAATAAAATGAAGTTACAATATTAATATATCTGCCAAATTTATTGCCTTAAAATTTTTTATATGACAAAATTGGCTTATTTTGATCTATTTTCATCCTAGACCCCCCGCCCCCACCACCACACACACACACACACATAAAAAACAAATTATAGCTCCCTTAAGGGGAAGGTTTGGCACCAATAAACTAGTCTGACTCCACCACATCCTGTATGTTCCTGTTCCAAGTCAGGAGCCTGTAATTCAGCGGTTCAAGTTGTCGTTTGTTCACTTTGTTGCTGTATATCATATTTGTTTATTTGTTCCTTGTTTTGTTATAAATCATTACATGTATCAGTCTGTTAGTTTCCTCATTTGCATTGTTTTACATTTGTCATTTTCATTAAATGTCTTTTATAGCTGACTTTGTGGTATGGGCTTTGCTCATTGTTGAAGTCATCTTGTACCATAACTTATTATAGTTGTTAACTTCTATGTCATTTGATCTCTGGTGGAGAATTGGACTCTTCTCAATGGCAATCATACATCATTTGTACATGTACATGTACCACATCTTCTTATTTTTATATTCACATTAAAGTATATGTAAAGTAGACCATTCATGCACTCTAGGGGTCCACTTCTTATAATGTACAACTTCAACCAGGTGATAAGACCTGCCGCTGTAATAGCCTGGGTCATATTTTTCAGCTTAAAAATATGTGAATAGGTGTGGAAAACTATCAGAAGTATAATACATGTATGACATGTATGATAAGGCTGAGAATTACTAGATGTTTATTGTTATAGTACTCAGTAATAGTAGTCTCAGACTCAGGATAATTAAGGCTTATTGTACTTGTCATATGCAAAGCCCTGTAATTTTCTTAGTTGCAAGTCTTGTTTTGCATAGTTAACATAACATAAGGAATTTGAGCCTCAGATTTGAGCTTTAATCAAATGTGATGATTTTCTCGGTAATGCCAGAATGTGATTCTTGTTCACTCCAGTATGTCCTGGAATCACTCATCATGCTCATAATTAAAATTTGGAAAAGGTTACATGTACATTATTACCTACGCAATGTATGAAAAGGTATATATATACATTTTTTAAATCTAAATTTAATGAAAAGGGGGAGTAATCGATCCTGGTATCGGGTCCGTTCGCGCCCAATACACGTTCGCACCCTACACATTCGCACCCCACACGTTCGCCCCCTAGGTCCGTTCGCACCCTTTTTTTTTATTCAAAAACCTGATAAATTTTTATATGTTTTGTAGATGTTTCTATCAAAATATTTTTATTTTCATAAATAAAAATTTGGGAATTTTTAAATGAAATATTGTTTTAAATTGATATGATGGTTAATTATTAAATGTTAATTATGTATGATTACTGCTAATTGGTATTTATACACAGCCTAATTTGGTGTTGTTGTTGAGTGTTTAAAAATCGTGATTGTTGTCATGGTTGTTTTAACTTGCTTTAAATGTAAATACTGCATGTATTTAGCTTGGTATGAGTAAAAGTTTGAAAATAAAAAACATGAAAGATAATTGTTTTTAACAGCTTGGCTCCTTTGATCTCATGTGTGTCAGAATCTCACTTTATTCATAAACAATGAAAAAAATATTTATTGCAATACACTATCCAAAACATGATTACGAATTATTCAACACATAAAAAAAACATTGTCAGAATCCCATTTCCTTTTGAAACAATAAAAAAGAAATATTTATACCAATACACTAACCAAAACATGATTAAGATTTTATCAACACCTAAAAAAACGTTGTCAGAATCTCACTTTATTTAGAAACAATGAACAAAAATAATTTATATATATATATATATATAGATATATATAGAGCAATACACTTACCTAAACATGATTAAAAATTATTCAACACAAAAATAAAATACTGGTCGTCAGAATCTCACTTTATTTAGAAACAATGAATAAATATATATTTATAGCAATACATTTAACAAAACTCGTTTACAAATTATTAAACACAAAACCAATAAAAATTGGGCGCAAACGTGTAGGATGCGAACGTGTAGGGTGGGAAAGTGAAAGGGGGGTGAACGTGATTGGGCGCGAACGGACACGGATTCATTGATCCCCAGGGGCACCCTTATCTATTAATTGTAAAATAGCTACTAATTGCTAAAGAGATTATAAAGTCTTCTGCACAGTGTCATGGTTTTAAAACAACTGATAAACAAATACAAATATCACACACCATAAGACACGATTATGCAGGTCAGCATCAGTTAAAGTAATTAAGTAAATTATTAAGTTCTGTAGTGACATTAGATAAACAATTTCAATACATTACATCAAGTATATGATGCCCCCCCCCCCCTTTCCAAGTTTGTCTTATTGTCAAAGGGTTTACAAATTATATGGTTATTTTGGATGTATTTGTGTCTTAATCCTGTAACATTCTCATTCTGACATATAAACAGATAATGAAACGGATTACCCAATGCAATTATATTTATATTACAATATCGTTCTCAGACTCAGCCTCAGGTTTACAATTATGTGAAATATCTACAGTCAAATAGTTTTTCGTGAAAAATAAAGCACACACATCTTCCTGCTTTTATCCAATAATTAAACAAAATGTGCATGATAATATTTACCTTTCGTTGTGCTTTTAGGGTACGTAAAACTATCCATCAAAACAAAAACACTTTCGCTGTTTCGTTGCGTTGACTTTCTATAAATTTTCTATGTTTCGTTCCCCGGTTTCTTCCAGTTAATCGACAAGTCACCCATTTCAATTTATCCGTTTATAATAAATTTTGATTCACCAGTTTGAAAAACCAAAGTTCTTTGTATCATCTATCTCTCTCCATTCAGACTTTTTAAATGACAACAGCAGATCGCGTGAGCGTCCATGGATTTTGCGTCATAGTATAAAAAAACGGTAACGGTGATTGTACGACTTTGCCCCCCGCAGAGCTATAGAAAAACAGTACATTAACGGGTGTTACACGGACTCTTTTTAGATGATACACGGACTCTTTTTAGTTTTTACACGGACACTTTTTATGAATAGATTCACTCGTGCATGATCAGTGAGTTCATGGGCACTTTAACTTTCAATTAGATTTGAACTTTTTGGTTCACCGACATATTTCCTGTCTTTTTATTAAACAAAATATTTACGTTAGCATCAATATCTTTTTTCAAACATTTTCAGTAAAATACTATTCATATCAGTACACTAAGGGATTAGACATTTAACTTAAAAAAAGGAGGGGGGGGGGGGTGTGTATGGTTTTCTCCTTAAAAAAAGATATTTTGATCCCAAATTTTATGAGAAAAAATTTACTATGGTCAAGCAGATGACAAATTAATGTTCTGCATGATTCCTGATTTTCCGAATACCGTATAGTGCTAATTTAAACAAAAATATTTGGGTGAGGGCGTTGAAAAGTAAATAGTTAATATACTCAGAAAAGAACATACCGCCCCATTTATGAAGCAAAATAATCGGTCAATAAATGTTTTCTTCAATATATGGACATGAATAGTATTTTGGACAATGCTGAAAGTAAAGAAATGATGATACCGACGTTCATATTTCAATAAAAAAAGACAGGAAATAAGTAAATAAAAATCAAATCTTATCAAAAGATAAAATCCCTATCAACTCACCAATGCACGATTGATCCTATAAAAAAAGTGTTCGTGTAATACACGTCCAAATAAGCAGCAAATCTAGAAGAAAATCATTCAACTTATGTCATCAATTTTGGACGGTAAGCTGCGATTGGATCATATAGTAACACGTGTTTAATCCCGATCAACACTTGCAAATCTAGAGACATTATGAATTTAAAAAAAAAATCGAAAGTTCAAAAAAGGGGTGTTACAACCCCCGGGACCCCCACCACTGAATATTGAATTCATGTATTTGGCAACAAACGTGCGATTTTTACGATTTTTTTAAAGGGGGAATGGGGGGATGGAATGGCACATTCTGCATTTTTTCATCAAAATAAAGATCACAGTCTGTTTATTTTAAATTAAATTAGGCCCCCCTCCCCGCTTTCCGTTTCATCCATAAAAATCAAACGTCAGCTTACTTACCACTAAAATATTTCTTTAATATATTACTGTTTTACGAAGTTGCATTTTAAAAAGTCTTAAATGTGTACAACATTCATCTTTTACTTGAAATGGTTCTTTTTTTATCAAATTATTAGATTCCTGATTTTTTTCTTGAAAAAAACTCTCGGTTGAAGGAAAATGAAAAAAAAATGTGTTTATACTATAACTTACATTTACTGCTTTATGGCTATCTAAGTTTCTCGAATGTTTAGTCTTGCAAAATGTATTATTACTTTCTTGAAACGTCGTACAAGTCAGATACAAAACAAAAGTAACAAAAAAACAGGCCGGAAACAACCTGCCGTATAGTTTTCCTGCACTTGTAGTCAGGTCAAGGTCCTCGGCTATCGCCATGGACCTTGACCTGACTACTCGTGCAGAAAAACTATCCGGCAACGGTTGTTACCGGCCTGTTTCTTTGTTACCTTTGTATTGTATCTAATACAAAGATTTCCGAGTTTCCGTATTCGACGTACATTTGTACCATGCAAGCTTTCGTACATTTACGTATATATATATATATGATGGTCTGGAATCAAGATTGGGGTTTAAGAATATAGAAAATAATGACAAAAAGTGCAAAATAAAGAACAAAAAAATAAAGAACAGATACTAAAAAAAGCAGAAATATGGAATAAAGAATCAGAGAATAAATATTGGGATTATTGATAAAAAAAAAAAGAATTGAGTGCACTTTCCTGTTTGAGAAATACACTATATAGATAATGAATGAAAAAATGTATGTGATAATTAAATGACAAATTTTGACATTTTCTCAAAACATTTTTTTTTAAATGCCCTTTAAAACATATGAAAACATATGAAAATCATATGTTTTTCATATGTTTACAAACATATGTAAACATATTTTTTAAAACATATGAAAACATATGTTTGCTTCCATATGTTTTCATATGTTTCAAAACATATGTAAACATATGTTTGTAAACATATGTTTTTCATATGTTTGGGACAAACATATGAAAAACATATGAAAATCATATGTTTTTCATATGTTTTGAAAACATATGAAAAACATATGTTGCAATTTTTCCTGTGTAATAATAATAATAATAATTATTATAATAATAATAATAATAAATTTAAACCAAATTTCATTGCATTTAATTGTATTTAATGAATTTTCATTTTAAAGTTACTTATCACACAGAAAAATAAAGAGTGTTAAAAGATCTTGAGTTGAATCTTGCTTTTAAAAAAAAAAATAAGTAATTGCAAAATGCGAACTATTGTCTAAATCGAAGATTAAAATCGTACTTTGAAACGATTACTTTTAGTTTGATTGATCGGTCTGTCGTTCTTATTTATATCTTTATGCTAACTAATTTGTTGTCGAAACTCAACGTACCATGTAGTCTTTTATAATTACTACTACATAGGAAAAATTGCAACATATGTTTTCATATGTTTAACATATGTTTTTCATATGTTTGAAAACATATGTAAACATATGTTTAGGCCCGACATGAAAACGTATGTTTTCGAACATATGAAAAACATATGGAAAACATATGAAAAACATATGTTTTTAAAATCATATGAAAAACATATGTTTTTCATACATGTAAACATATGAAAAACATATGTTTTTCATATGTTTTTTACAAACATATGTTTTTCATATGTTTTCATACCTGGCCTAAACATATGTTTTCATATGTTTGTCCTAAACATATGTTTTCATATGTTTGGCCCAAACATATGTTTTCATATGATTTTATCTTGGTCTTAAATATATTTATTTTTTATATGTTTTTAATTGTTCAAATGCATTTATTTTCTCATAGATTCTTAACATGGTTTTTATATATATGTATTTTTTTTTTTTGCGATAGGTTTTTAAGGGTAATGTTTTGATGTTTTTTAATATGTTTTTCTTTAATTTGTCATCTTTTTTTTCTGTCAGGAACTCATTTTGAGTGTAAATACTTCATTGTGATGAGTTGTTGCTATAAAAAGTAAAAAACCCAAAATACCAAATTCCACAGAAAATACATGGCAAAATCAAAAGCTCAAACAAATAAAAAACAATAAGTGCTCCATAATTTTTATATAAAGTAGAACTTTTTTTTATTAAGTTGTTGTCTCTTCTATTTCATATTTTTGTCTCTTTGACATACATTGTACCATATTTCTATTGTCTATATTCTATTTTCATATGTGTGTCTCTTTGACATACCCCATTTCTATTGTCTATATTATATTTTCATATGTTTGTCTCTTTGACATACTCCATTTCTATTGTCTATATTATATTTTCATATGTGTGTCTCTTTGACATACATGTGTACTCCATTTCTATTGTCTATACTATATTTTCCAATGATGTATGAGATATTTCTATTGCTATATCACCATACACAGATATGTAATTGTCTACACTGCTGGCTAATACTGGTGCATGTGTATGCAGCTGCTTTTTGGAAATATCCTGTATGATTAAGAAAGACAACTAGATTGACTTTGAGCTCAATATTGTATTAATTAAAAATTAATGTTCTTTGGTTCTGTTTCTTTACTTTTCAGTTCCTGCAAGTAGAAATAAAAGAACAGAGTTTCAATGTCCACCTAGTTGCACATTTTTAGCTCACCTGGCCCGAAGGGCCAAGTGAGCTATTCTCATCACTTGGCACCTGTTGTCGTCGTCCGGATTCGTCGTTAACTTTTTACATTTTTAACTTCTTCTAGAGAACCACTGAATGGATTGGAACAAAATATGGCATGAATGTTCCTTATGAGGTGCTGACCAAGTGTTGTTACTTTGTTGCCGATCCATCATCCAAGATGGCCGCCAGCAGGGGACTTAGTTTAACATAGGACCCTATGGGAAATACATACAAATGTCTTCTTTTAGAGAACCACTGAATGGAATGAAACCAAACATAGCATGAATGTTCCTTATTAGGTGCTGACCTAGTGTTGTTACTTTGTAGCCGATCCATCATCCAAGATGGCCACCAGCGGGGGCTTAGTTTAACAAAGGACCCTACGGGAAATACATTCAGATGTCTTCTTTTAGAGAACCACTGAATGGAATGAAAGCAAACATAGCAATAGTAAACCAAATTTGGCCTCAAACATTATTATAAGTATCTGTTATGATTTTTATCTTTTTTTATATGATTTCAAAAACCCAAGTAGAGTGAGGTGAGCGACACAGGCTCTTGAGAGCCTCTAGTTTATCTATCAAGGGGCAATATTAACATGATTAAAAAAAAAAAAAAAAATATTTATAAGTAAAAAATGTGCTTGGGGAAAAAAAAGGTTCTTTTTCTTGTATACTAAATATTTCAAACTGACCTTCAAGGGCATTTCTATAATGGTATACTATAAGTTTAATAAAATAAATTGAGAGCATTTACGAGGCCATTTTCCATAAATTTAATATTTCCAAGAGGCATAACTCTTTTCAAAAAATTCAATTGGCCATCATATTACAACTGCCAGTTGGACATTTACACCTTACAATAATTCCATACACCAAATATAGTAAGTATAACTTATTGCTTATAATACCTGAGGTATTGACTTGACCACAAAAACTTTCTGACAGAGTAGACAGACACTAGCTACAGGACCTTGCAAGGTACCCACATACTAAGTAAATAGAAATATCCTATTACCATGATTACTATAAATAATATTAATAAGAGAGAAATTAACATTACAAAAAAACTTTAACCACAGACTGAACCTAAACTTTAGGACAGCGACGCCGCCCCTGGCAGAATCTAGGATCACTGTCTCGCTTTCACGAAATAAATTTGCAAGCTTGACAAAAAGCAGAACTTGTATTTCAGAAATAAAAATTCTATGCAATTATTAATACTTATATGCTGTTATGGTCCTACATATTCTTGTGTGTTCAATATTTTGGCATTACACAAAGTCATGCTTTCTTAGACT